GTCACGGCGGAATCGTCGGTATGACTCGCGGTCACGGCGGAATCGTCGGTATGACTCGCGGTCACGGCGGAATCGTCGGTATGACTCGCGGTCACGGCGGAATCGTCGGTATGACTCGCGGTCACGGCGGAATCGTCGGTATGACTCGCGGTCACGGCGGAATCGTCGGTATGACTCGCGGTCATGGCGGAATCGTTGGTATATACGACTCGCGGTCACGGTGAAATCGTCGGTATGACTCGCGGTCACGGTGAAATCGTTGGTATGACTCGCGGTCACGGCGCGAACGTCCAAATGACTTGCGGTCACGGTGCGATCGTCAAAATGACTTCGGCTCCTGCGTTCGTGGAATTACCGTGAACATCTCTCGCGATAGCAGCGTCATTTTCACTCGCGAAGCGTCAAAATTGCCGATGATGGGATCAAATCCCGTCCCGAAAAATTCCAGAATCAAATTAAATCCCGTCTCGAAAATCGGGAATATTTTTTTCCCGAAATTTCGGGACCCGTGCGTTGATACCAGTAGCCGCCGCGCGGCGCCCCCTTAGCCGCAGCGCCCCCCCAGCCGCGGCGCCCGGGGCAGCTTGCCCCGGTTGCCCCCCCCTTCGGACGGCCCTGGGTCCGCAAGCATTTTTTTGTGGGGTCCACGAAAAACATTTTAATCAAATTTATTTTTATATGTATTGTATACTAGCAGAGTACCCGTCCTTCGTACGGGGTTGGCGTATAAGTATAAAATGCTTATTGCAGTTATACTCGTGCTTTGTGTTTGCAATGGGGGAGGACACAGTTTGAGTAAATTTGGTTCTTTTAACTTACGGTAATTTACACATCTACTATAGCCATAATAATGTGCTACCACTTTACCTAAACAATAGAGACGAATAAGTTACCAAATATTCGCACAATCACAAATTATTTATAAATAAAAAACTTAAGCATAACTGTAAACAGTCCTATTTTTTGTCAGTTCCCATTGTGTATCATAGCTTTTTGTTGCTGCTTGGGTCAAATAAGCTGTTGTCATATATGAAAAAAAATTAGTTCTGCACCCTATTAGTAAACACTATAACTTTTTAGTACTATTGAATATCATAGAACCAACTCGTGTAGTTGAAACCGCTGGTAAAATTATTTTATTCATTTTAAATTTGAATACTGATAAGGTTAACATGGAAATCTCCAAAGCCACTGGGGCGGAGCCTGAATGGGTCTTTGAGATAAGAATATGTCTATATGTTAATTGGGAACGAAAGCTATCATCATACCGAATTTCAGCTCGATCCGACCAGTAGTTACTTAATGCGTGATTGAACTTCAAACAAACAAACAAACACACAAACTTTCACATTTATAATATTAGTAAGATTATATTATACTAGCTGAAAGTAAATAAAAGAAACGTCTTATAACACTTAAAATATATATTTACACTTATACTGTTACTCACAAGACGGTAAATATACAAAACAGATGGTAAGTGGTGATCGATTTCGATTGGACACTCCAATCATCATCAGACCCAATAGGCGAATGTACCCATTCTTCTAGGTCTGATGATGATTGGAGTGTCCAATCGAAATCGATCACCACTTACCATCTGTTTTGTATATTTACCGTCTTGTGAGTAACAGTATAAGCGTAAATATATGTTTTAAGTGTTATAAGACGTTTCTTTTATTTACTTTCCGTAAATTTACACGTAAAGTGCTGATCAAGAAGTTATTTAATTATACTAGCCTATTTTGCTATAGGCTAAAGGATTAAGGTTAAGAAATATGCAAAAAAACTTAAACCTAAATAAATAACCTAGCCTACTTATTTATTTAGGTTTAGGTTCCTTTGCATTTTTCTTAATTTTGATTTTAATAAGTAGCTTAAACTAGCCTACAGTTTTCTATTTAAGATATATCCTAAATACAGTAATGACATCTAGTGATATGCATCCGTTCCAAACCCTATCACTCACTCCTATCCTATCCTATCACTACGTATTTTCTATCGATCGTCTATTGATACTTCCCCTAGGGTCAAGTAGAGCCTCGTCTTCTAACCCCTCCCTGAGGAGATAGTTTAAAAAGTTACAACACGCACTCATGACCTTACCATTGTAAGTGCTGATGAAAAATCGTACGACGACCGTAAATCAATCGCTCTAAGCAAAACGGTCGCCGTAACAGCGATAGTAACAGAGCGATTATCGCTGTGCGACTATCGCTACAGTCGCTCCGAGCAAAATAGGCCTTAAGTTAAGTGGACTAAATCAAAGTAAGTTAACCTAACTTAATGCCAATTTTTAGTTTAATGGAGAAAAAATTTTGTAGCCTACCTATATCAGAAACTAATCGCCTGAAAGCTGACCAGACTCTTACTGCGATTAAACGTAGGTTACTGCATTTTATCTGACAGTGTCACTAACAAAGTAGCTGCTTAAATACTTATCGAGTAGGCTACTGAAGTAACTTAGCTTTAAGTCCCTAGCCCTAAGTTATAAGTTACCTACACATTAAAATATCATGGTATAAAATATGGCATTAAGTTAAGTCTAAAGCCGGGTTTTCCTAGACGCGGAAGAGGAGCGCGGAGAGCGGAAAATTGAGTAACATGGCATTCCGCTCTGCTTCCTAGGAAAACAGTACCGGTAACATTAAACTATTTAAGACAAGAGGAGTTCACTCTCCACGCTACTCTCTCCCCGCCTAGAAAAACCCAGCTTTATAGAATAGACTACAACGTAACTTAGGCCCATTATGGCTAATCTAGGCTATAACCTACCATAGTCTATACTATGAACAGTAAAGACAATGCCTAGGCCTAAGTTAGACCATACCAGTACCACAATACCTAAGTATCTTACATGGAGAGCTTGATATCCAAGCTGGTAAAAAAATATGTTCTTATGCATACAAACAACTCAAAGTTAGGCCGATAAGTTGACAGCATTTATTTTTTAGGCTAGGCTACTCATTGCACGTAGGCTTACCAACTCAAAAGTGGCTGACTTTAGGCTAAAACTTACTTGGCTCTTTCAAAATTTTCACTGATTTTGAGTTTACTTAATTTCTTCCTAGGCTATTCTTGTAATTAACTTAAGACGATTTGATTTTGTTAGTCACAATCCTTGAGTTTACTTAGTTTGTGCTAATAAGAACTTACCTTGATGGATAAGAAGAAATAGATGAAACTTAATAACAAATCAGCTTTAACAATATAATATTATAACTTGAACAACTCAGCACCAGAATATCGATATTCTCAACTCAATGAGAGAGATTGAGAATGAATCACTTACAAATACACAATAAACAAAACAAAGCAATATGGCCGATGGCATCTTCAAGTGTCGGTCCCACCGTTAGCGTCGTTCCCGTTCCCGCTCGGAATTATGGGTAACTTACACTCGACTCCAATTCGAATCCAACGTGATACTTAAAAGCTGTAATTTCAAACCAACGTAAGCGTAATGGAAGTGCATTGTGGGTAATATTACACTCGACTCGGATTCGAATCTAATGTGATATTACAAAGCTGTTAATACAAGCAAGTGCAAGCGTAATAGTAGTGTGTTGTGTATACTCGAATCCAGTTTGAATCTAATGTGACATTTCAAAGCTGTTAATTCAATCCACTGTAAGCGTAATTCAAGTGTGTTACACGAAGTTGACATTTGACTCGAGTTTGAATCTAAAGTGACAATTCAAAGCTGTCATTTCAAGTAAAAGCAAGCGTAATTCAAAGCTTGAAGCAAGCTTACGTGCTATCTGGGACTTTCATAATTATTTGCAAATCTACAGGGGGGTGAGCTTACTTTTTTACGATCCATTAATTGAAAATCGGTCTAGTAGAACTGTAGATTTAGTTGTACAACGATTTTCAAAACCGAATTTTATAAGAGTAGATTTACGTACAGCAAAACATTGCAACGCAGGGCAGGACCATAGATTTACGCATATATAACAGGACCGACCAACTGTTCAAACTTCAACTAGCCTATTTCAACTGAACCTTGAGTACTGAACTAACCTCAAAAATCGACAGAATACAGATGTTTCGCGGGGAAATAATTTAATTCGTGGGTGTAGTTACTGGGCCGAGCAACACTCGGGTTTCAACTAAACTACTCGATTCGCTCTCAACTGACCTCTTTTTGCCAACTCGTCCGTTACTCGACTTGCCTGCATGTCTACAACAAGCGAGTAATAGAGCGAGTGGAAACTCGTACACTTACTCGCCCACCGTACTCGACCCGTGTAAACCAGGCCACTGCCCACTGCCCTGCCTGCCTGTCTTCAGTGCCTTCGCTTTGATCGCTTTCGCTTCGCCTTGCCCAGTGCCCAGCCCAGTGTTACTAATGTTAGTGATGACGTCACCCCCCCCCCCGCCACATTTACTCGAAGGTTTTTAGAGCACAAATTATATCACTTATATATTGTTGTAGCACAAAATGAGCACTAAATCGTGACACCATTTTCAACAGATTTGCTCAATGTGGCGGGGCGAATGACGTCATCACCAGCGGCAGTTTTCCCTAATTTACTCGGTTGTTTTTAGAGCACAAATTATAAAAACTACATATTGTTGAAGCACAAAATGAGCACTAAATTTCTATGTATAATACATCGTAAAATCCTTTGGTGGCGGGCTGAACGTGAAGTTAGCCCCGCCAACAGTTTTTATAATTTTTTGGTGTGTTATTGTTGAGCACAACATTTTTTATATATACCTTTGAGAAGCACAAATTCAGCACTAAATTATGAATATCAATGTGTTTTTATAATTTGTGCTCATTAAGGCGGGGCCAACTTCACGCGAGTCTAATGAGGACTGAGGAGGCTTGGGATTTGAAGAAGAAGAAGCCGCACCGATGTACCGTTCCGATTCCAATTCCGCTGTCCCACGGCGTTGTGGTGGGGGGTTGTGGTCCTCCATGAACGGTCTCGTCTTCTGACGACGACTGTCTGAGTCTGTTGGTGCTGATGTAAAAAGAAATGTCAGTGTCAGTTTTCAGTTTGGCACTACTAAACACTAACTAACCAAATACTAACGAACGGCTGATTAAATTAGGAAGTTTTGCAAGTTTTGGACACTCATTTAGAGACAACTTGATTCATTAACAACTAACTATCGTTTGGATAGTCAAGTGCAACAGGAAATGTTTTAAGAAATGCAATGTGCTACTTAGTACTTAGATCTTGTCAATCAGATTACCCGAATCTTTGTTTACTTCCCAAAGAATATTTTTGATACACCAAGTGTGTTCTGAATTGTGTTTTTATTACTGTAGCCTTCTTATTCTTGAAGGTAAGTCATTGCCTAGAGATCTAATGATGACGTATAGTTATTTATAAAATATATCATCACCAATCACCCTGTTCATGACCAGGATGAGTCATATACCAGACATCATTGCGTCATTAGACTAGCCTATCACAATCATACTCAAGGTATGCCTATCACAAATCTTAACTTATCAGTTCTTGTGCTTGTGCATTGCTAGTTTCAAGTATTGTTGAGACTTACCAGCACTTGTAAAATACAGGTCTGTTAATATATTTTTGTAACAAACTCATTTTATGTGCCCCCTTTACCTTTTATTGTAAATAAAACTTACAAATCACTTATTAGTTCTAATGCTTTGGTTTCCTATGGATTTTGATGCAACCGTTTGAAATTTTAGGAAATTTAAGCAGTCATAGATAATTGGTGTGAACCTGGCAATAACTCCAGCCATAAGTAGTGCGCGCGCCCGAAAAAATCTATTGCTGGCCGCTTTGCGGCAAAATACGTCCGCGATGCATATTACCGATTATGCCAACAGATAGAGGACACTTTAACGGACACGACAGTATCAACATTATGTACCTGGGGAGTAGGTTAAGGGGGGTAAAATGAGCAATAAGTAGTGCGCGCACCACCAAAAATCTATTGCTGGCCGTATTACGGCAAAATACGTCCGCGATGCATATTACCGATTATGCCAACAGATAGAGGACACTTTAACGGACACGACAGTATCAATATTATGTACCTGGGGAGTAGTATAAGGGGGGTAAAATCGGCAAAAAGTAGTGTGCGCGCTACAAAAAATCTATTGCTGGCCGTATTACGGCAAAATACGTCCGCGATGCATATTACCGATTATGCCAACAGATAGAGGACACATTAACGGACACGACAGTATCAACATTATGTACCTGGGGAGTAGTATAAGGGGGGTAAAATCGGCAAAAAGTAGTGCGCGCACCACCAAAAATCTATTGCTGGCCGTTTTACGGCAAAATAAGTCCGCGATGCATATTACCGATGATGCCAACAGATAGAGGACACTTTAACGGACACGACAGTATCAACATTATGTACCTGGGGAGTAGTATAAGGGGGGTAAAATCAGCAATAAGTAATGCGCGCGCTACAAAAAATCTATTGCTGGCCGCTTTGCGGCAAAATACGTCCACGATGCATATTACCGATTATGCCAAAAAATAGAGGACACTTTAACGGACACGACAGTATCAACATTATGTACCTGGGGAGTAGTATAAGGGGGGTAAAATCGGCAAAAAGTAGTGCGCGCGCTACAAAAAATCTATTGCTGGCCGTATTGCGGCAAAATACGTCCGCGATGCATATTACCGATTATGCCAACAGATAGAGGACACTTTAACGGACACGACAGTATCAACATTATGTACCTGGGGAGTAGGTTAAGGGGGGTAAAATGAGCAATAAGTAGTGCACGCACCACCAAAAGTCTATTGCTGGCCGTATTACGGCAAAATACGTCCGCGATGCATATTACCGATTATGCCAACAGATAGAGGACACTATAACGGACACGACAGTATCAATATTATGTACCTGGGGAGTAGTATAAGGGGGGTAAAATCGGCAAAAAGTAGTGCGCGCGCTACAAAAAATCTATTGCTGGCCGTATTACGGCAAAATACGTCCGCGATGCATATTACCGATTATGCCAACAGATAGAGGACACATTAACGGACACGACATTATCAATATTATGTACCTGGGGAGTAGTATAAGGGGGGTAAAATCGGCAAAAAGTAGTGCGCGCACCACCAAAAATCTATTGCTGGCCGTTTTACGGCAAAATACGTCCGTGATGCATATTACCGATGATGCCAACAGATAGAGGACACTTTAACGGACACGACAGTATCAACATTATGTACCTGGGGAGTAGTATAAGGAGGGTAAAATCAGCAATAAGTAATGCGCGCGCTACAAAAAATCTATTCCTGGCCGTATTGCGGCAAAATACGTCCGCGATGCATATTACCGATTATGCCAACAGATAGAGGACTTTTTAACGGACACGACAGTATCAACATTATGTACCTAAGGAGTAGTATAAGGGGGGTAAAATCGGCAAAAAGTAGTGCGCGCGCTACAAAAAATCTATTGCTGGCCGTATTGCGGCAAAATACGTCCGCGATGCATATTACCGATGATGCCAACAGATAGAGGACACTTTAACGGACACGACAGTATCAACATTATGTACCTGGGGAGTAGGATAAGGGGGGTAAAATCGGCAAAAAGTAGTGCGCGCGCTACAAAAAATCTATTGCTGGCCGTATTGCGGCAAAATACGTCCGCGATGCATATTACCGATGATGCCAACAGATAGAGGACACTCTAACGGTCACGACAGTATCAACATTATGTAGGTCTACCTGGGGAGTAGTATAAGGGGGGTAAAATGAGCTTATACTACTCCCCAGGTACATAATGTTGATACTGTCGTGTCCGTTAGAGTGTCCTCTATCTGTTGGCATAATCGGTAATATGCATCGCGGACGTATTTTGCCGCAATACGGCCAGCAATAGATTTTTTGTAGTGCGCGCACTACTTTTTGCCGATTTTACCCCCCTTATACTACTCCCCAGGTACATAATGTTGATACTGTCGTGTCCGTTAAAGCGTCCTCTATCTGTTGGCATCATTGGTAATATGCATCGCGGACGTATTTTGCCGCAATACGGCCAGCAATAGATTTTTTGTAGCGCGCGCACTTTTTGCCGATTTTACCCCCCTTATACTACTCCCCAGGTACATAATGTTGATACTGTCGTGTCCGTTAAAGTGTCCTCTATCTGTTGGCATCATCGGTAATATGCATCGCGGACGTATTTTGCCGCAATACGGCCAGCAATAGATTTTTGGTGGTGCGCGCACTACTTATTGCTCATTTTACCCCCCTTATACTACTCCCCAGGTACATAATGTTGATACTGTCGTGTCCGTTAGAGTGTCCTCTATCTGTTGGCATAATCGGTAATATGCATCGCGGACGTATTTTGCCGCAATACGGCCAGCAATAGATTTTTTGTAGTGCGCGCACTACTTTTTGCCGATTTTACCCCCCTTATACTACTCCCCAGGTACATAATGTTGATACTGTCGTGTCCGTTAAAGCGTCCTCTATCTGTTGGCATCATTGGTAATATGCATCGCGGACGTATTTTGCCGCAATACGGCCAGCAATAGATTTTTTGTAGCGCGCGCACTTTTTGCCGATTTTACCCCCCTTATACTACTCCCCAGGTACATAATGTTGATACTGTCGTGTCCGTTAAAGTGTCCTCTATCTGTTGGCATCATCGGTAATATGCATCGCGGACGTATTTTGCCGCAATACGGCCAGCAATAGATTTTTGGTGGTGCGCGCACTACTTATTGCTCATTTTACCCCCCTTATACTACTCCCCAGGTACATAATGTTGATACTGTCGTGTCCGTTAGAGTGTCCTCTATCTGTTGGCATAATCGGTAATATGCATCGCGGACGTATTTTGCCGCAATACGGCCAGCAATAGATTTTTTGTAGTGCGCGCACTACTTTTTGCCGATTTTACCCCCCTTATACTACTCCCCAGGTACATAATGTTGATACTGTCGTGTCCGTTAAAGCGTCCTCAATCTGTTGGCATCATTGGTAATATGCATCGCGGACGTATTTTGCCGCAATACGGCCAGCAATAGATTTTTGGTGGTGCGCGCACTACTTATTGCTCATTTTACCCCCCTTATACTACTCCCCAGGTACATAATGTTGATACTGTCGTGTCCGTTAAAGTGTCCTCTATCTGTTGGCATCATCGGTAATATGCATCGCGGACGTATTTTGCCGCAATACGGCCAGCAATAGATTTTTGGTGGTGCGCGCACTACTTATTGCTCATTTTACCCCCCTTATACTACTCCCCAGGTACATAATGTTGATACTGTCGTGTCCGTTAGAGTGTCCTCTATCTGTTGGCATAATCGGTAATATGCATCGCGGACGTATTTTGCCGCAATACGGCCAGCAATAGATTTTTTGTAGTGCGCGCACTACTTTTTGCCGATTTTACCCCCCTTATACTACTCCCCAGGTACATAATATTGATACTGTCGTGTCCGTTAAAGTGTCCTCTATCTGTTGGCATCATCGGTAATATGCATCGCGGACGTATTTTGCCGCAATACGGCCAGCAATAGATTTTTTGTAGCGCGCGCACTACTTTTTGCCGATTTTACCCCCCTTATACTACTCCCCAGGTACATAATGTTGATACTGTCGTGTCCGTTAAAGTGTCCTCTATCTGTTGGCATCATCGGTAATATGCATCGCGGACGTATTTTGCCGCAATACGGCCAGCAATAGATTTTTTGTAGTGCGCGCAGTACTTTTTGCCGATTTTACCCCCCTTATACTACTCCCCAGGTACATAATGTTGATACTGTCGTGTCCGTTAAAGTGTCCTCTATCTGTTGGCATCATCGGTAATATGCATCGCGGACGTATTTTGCCGCAATACGGCCAGCAATAGATTTTTTGTAGCGTGCGCACTACTTTTTGCCGATTTTACCCCCCTTATACTACTCCCCAGGTACATAATGTTGATACTGTCGTGTCCGTTAAAGTGTCCTCTATCTGTTGGCATCATTGGTAATATGCATCGCGGACGTATTTTGCCGCAATACGGCCAGCAATAGATTTTTTGTAGCGCGCACACTACTTTTTGCCGATTTTACCCCCCTTATACTACTCCCCAGGTACATAATGTTGATACTGTCGTGTCCGTTAAAGTGTCCTCTATCTGTTGGCATCATCGGTAATATGCATCGCGGACGTATTTTGCCGCAATACGGCCAGCAATAGATTTTTTGTAGCGCGCGCACTACTTTTTGCCGATTTTACCCCCTTTATCCTACTCCCCAGGTACATAATGTTGATACTGTCGTGTCCGTTAAAGTGTCCTCTATCTGTTGGCATCATCGGTAATATGCATCGCGG